AAACCGGAAGATCAGAGTGCGAAATCTGTCTACTTGACCCACCTCTCGGCTTTGCCGCAACGAGAAAGAGCTTTGTTGCGGGGAGGAACCTCGAACTCAAGGCCGCCTGGAAGGTTCCCCATCGCCGGGAGGTGTTGATCATTAGCTGAGCCGGTTAATAAATTCCCGGAGCAAAGCTCTGGAGGGCAGCGGAGGTTGCTTAACCCGAGAATGAGGAATGTAGGGAATGCTGGACCTGGAATGCAGATTTATTCATTAAGGAGCATTATGATCTCAGCTCACTGGACTTTGCCATGTTGGCAGAAGATAACAATTTAATTTGGGGTTGGGTTGGGAGGGGGGACTTTCTGCTGCAAAAATCCCACAGGCGAGGAGGCATTTCCCAGCAGGTAAGAGTTAACCCTTCACCTGCTGAATTTTTGCGATGGGCAGCTGCCGATAAAATTGCTAGATTCAGTGGCATACAACCTCTCCAGTTTGGTGGACTCTAATCTGGGAGAACCGGGTTTGATTCCCCACTCTTCCACTTGCACCTGTTGGATGACCTTGGGCAAACCATAGTTCTGGCACAGCTGTTCTCGAAAAAGAGCAATTTCTGTCAAGAGCTCTCTCAGCCCCACCTACCTCACCGGGTGTCTGTTGTGGGGAGGGGAAGGGAAAGGAGTTTGTAAGCCGCTCTGAGACTCTTTCTGGTAGTGAAGGGCGAGGTATAAATCCAATCTCCTCCTCCTCCTCCTCCTCCTCCTCTTCTCTTCCTCCTCCTCTCCTATATTTAAACACAGTCCGGCTTTTGCGCAACCCCCCCTCCTTCAAACTGACACCACCATGGTTCCCTGAACAGTTGGAATGTTCGTGCGCATTCCTCCATCCCATCCTCTCCACCAATCAACAAGAGAGTCGTTCTAGTCCCTCTCTGGAGAGCCTTCTCAAAAACATCTCAGAGCTTCTAACTGCTCGCCTTTGAGCAGGTGCGCCTCGGCGTTTAGTCATGCCGGCCACATGACCACGGAGAAGTCTTCGGACAGCGCTGGCTCTTCGGCTTGGAAACGGAGATGAGCACTGCCCCCTAGAGTCAGATTCGACTGACTTTCGAACAAGGGAAAGGTTTACCTTTATTTCTTATGGGACAAAAGGCCTCAAACTCAGACCAAAATACAATGAACAGGGTGCAACTGGAGACACACACACCCTCAATCCTCCACCAGTCCTTTTGTCTTCTCTACAGCTTGCGGGAAGGAATTGCCTTTCTTTGCACACTAAAAACAAAGATATTTCCAATGAATCATTCTCTGACATTTCGTGAACCTGCGAGAACACTCCTTATCTCTGAATCAGCTGTGCCAAATTCCATTGCAAATGCCGCCGTTTCTAAGGCGGTTGATTACCCATAATAGTAGACCTCATCGACTTCCAAATCATCTTCAGAAACATCTGTCACAGGGATGCAAATGCCAGAGAGGGCAGCCCGGTTTAGCCTATCTGCGGGCATCGAAACTGAAGAGGCGGCTGGTGGCGCTCGAAAAGCTGAAAATATTTATTGGGGCAGAAACACCTATGAACTACAAATGCTTCTTCGGCAGCTGCATGAAGTGTATCCTCAGTGAGCAGACATAGATATGCCATAGTAGACTCCTTTTTTTTTTTTTGTTTCTGGAAAGATGCAGTCAAGACACACTCCACATTAGACTGGCTGAGCTGCCAAACCAAAAGACGGGGGAAACATACCAGATCAGGAAGGATGATCCAGTTTAACCATAAAAGGAGAGAAGAACTTTACAGAAGGGGGTAAAATGGGTCTAGCGGTCAGATAGAGCAGAGGTTCCCAAAATGGTGCCCGTGGTGGATAGCATGGGCACCCACTAATACCTTTCCTGGTGCCAGTTTCGTGTAGTGGTTAGGAGCACAGACTCTAAACTGGGAGAACTGTGTTCGATTCCCCACTCCTCCACATGCAGCTGCTGGTGTGACCTTGGGTCAGCCACAAGCTCTCTCAGAGCTGTTCTCTCACAAGCAGAGAACTCTCTCAGCCCCGCCGACCTCACAGGGTGTCTATTGTAGGGAGGGGAAAAGGAAAGGAGATTGTGAGCCGCTCTGAGACTCCTCCGGGTAGTGAAGGGCGGGGTATAAATCCAATCTCTTCGTCTTCTTCTTCTTCTGCCTGTCAAGTGTTTTGAAAAAGTGGGAGGGACTCGGTGTGGCGCTTGCCCAGCAGAGATTCTGATTGGCCGCCCGTATTAATAGGCTTCCAGTTAAATAAAGCTTCTGTCTGAAATGTTGAAGAATGGCTGTTACAATTATATACAAAACCTCGCTCCCCGACATTTTGTGGTTGGCTCCGCCTCCTGGGGCAGCCATTTTGTAATTGTCCCCACTGCCCTCCTGTGTCAGAATTCCAAAGGTGCCCCCAGGACCCCAATATGGACTTAAGCAGGCTGAAGTGTTCTTTTTCTCCCACCTCAGCCTGGGAATTGTAGTTCTGCCATGCTCAAAGGCACCGTTAAACTACAGCTCCCAAGATCCCTTGGGGGCAGCTGTGCCGGTTACCCCAATTCAAAACTCCACGACAGTTGAAGAGCTGAAAAGGCAGGCAGGCCAACTGCAGTTAGGACCAGAGCCAGCCGGGGGCGCTGGTATCTACTTGCAATTTCTTGCTTTCGAACTGCTAGGTTGGCAGGAGCTGGAACTAGAGACGGGAGCTCACTCCGTCTTGCAGCACCTGGGTCTTGAACTGCTGAACGACTGACCTTCCACAGCCTGCAGTTCAGTGTCTTAACCACTTGAGCCACCGCAGCTCAAAGGCACCATTAAACTACAGCTCCCAAGATTCCTTGGGGGCAGCTGTGCCGGTTACCCCAATTCAAAACAACACGACAGTTGCAGAGTTGAAAAGGCAGGCAGGCCGGCTGCAGTTAGAGCTATGGTGACACCCAGTCAGGGAGAGCCAGCCGGGGGCGCGGCTGCTGTGCAGATCCTGGCAAAGAGCCTGAAGCAAGATTTCGGGGAAGAGAGAAGGTCTGAAAGGTAGCATCGGTTGATGCTGCAAGCTGATCCGGTCTCTGGCTGTGGAAACTGCCCTCAAGCCTCAGCCGACTTAAAGCAACCTTGGCCCCGGTCACACGGAGAATTTGCCGCGCGAAAGGCACAAATGCTGGGCGGATTTTCGGGGCGCGATCACGCCGCGACATCTGGCAAGCGTAGCGCACCCATGGCCAACCTGTGACGTGCCGCCGCTATTCTGTCCGACCGACCTCTTTGCAGTGCGCGCCGAAGGACAAAACCCCGGTGCGCCGCCGTCGCGTCTCATCGCATAAAGGCGGATCAGAATGCGATGCCACAAATAGCCACATGTTTTCTGGTACATGTGGCCAGGGGCCTTGTAGGGCTTTCAAGACAAGGAGGAGGAGGAGGAGGAGATTGGATTTGAGGAGGAGGAGGAGGAGGAGGAGGAGGAGGAGGAGGAGATTGGATTTATACCCCGCCCTTCACTACCCAAGAGAGTCTCAGAGCGGCTTACAATCTCCTTTCCCTCCCCCTCCCCTCAACAGACACCCGGGGGGTAGGTGGGGCTGAGAGAGCTCTCTTGAGGACTGCTCTTGAGAGAACAGCTCCGAAAATAACTTGTGACTGACCCAAGGTCATCCAGCAGCTGCAAGTGGAGGAGTGGGGGGCGGAGGTGGTTGGCTGTTTCCTGCCTCTGTGCCACAGGACGGGAGTTCCTTGCAGATCTCCCGTCCGAGGACTGACCCCCGATAAGCTTCCGGGAGCTGCTGCTGCTGAGATCAGGTTAAGCCTGGGCCATCTGGGGAGCGTTCTGGCCCGTAGCTACAGTGAAGGGGAGCTATTGGGGGCTATGCCCTCTTCCTTAAAGGGCAAGCCCCCTTCCTTGAAGACCCCCTTTCTTAAAGCCCCCCCCTGCTTCTTCCCAAAAGCATTTAAACGGATCCTTTAAATCAGGGGTCATTTCGTAGATAAAGAGGTGCAGGAGCTCATTAGCATAACTCATTAGCATAGGCCACACCCCCTGACATCACCGGAAGTGTGTCAGAAGGCAACACCCACCGCTCAGGCTCCACTGGACTGTTTTGGATTGCTAGCTATTGGGGGGGGGGATGTGCAGATCTGTCCTCGCAGAGGAGGGAGAGCTTGTACCTGAATAAAACTTGGTCTTAAAGGTGCCACTGGACTGTTTTGGGCCGGGGGAGCTCTGCAGCTTACCTGGCTGCTTCTTGCTCTGACTGAGGGCTGCTGGGAGCAGGGGGCGGGGCTTGTTGCATGTGCCCGCCCCCTGGGCTCTTTACTGCCGGAGCTCCGCTCCTGTGCGCTCCCGCAGGAAATGACCCCTGCTTTAAATGCTTTTGAGAAGAAGCGGGGTGGGGGTGGCGGCACGTGCCCCTCTCCGTCCCCTCCTGCAAGCTTTAAAGGCCCCCCCAGCTGATTGGCAGGCCACGTGGTCCCCACTGATCAGCCGAATGGCCCTTTAAATCTTGCAGGGAGGGGATGGAGAGGAGTGTGCACTGCCACCCCTTCGTTATGGCAAATAATGGCAGCCCCACCAGAAATATTTTTTTGCCCCACATGCCACAAAATCCCAGCTATGCTTCGTTATGGCAAGCTGCTCCGGGTCGGGAAACTCCTGGAGATTTGGAGGGTAGAGCCTGGGGAGGGTGGAGTTTGGGGTGGGACAGGACCTTAGTGGGGTAGAATGCCATAGCATCCACCCTCCAGAGCAGCCATTTTCTCCAGGGGAACCGATCTCTGTCGTCTGGACATCAGTTTTGGTTTGAGTTCCCCCATTTTCCCTTCTTTGCCAGTTTGTAACAGCAGAAGAGCTCCAGGCAGTGCCTGGAGGCTGGCAACCCTGCATCCAGGTCAGGGCCCTCTGGTCTCTACTGCTTCCAGAATCCTGGCACTTTCCCAAGGAATCCTGGGAACTGTAGTTTTCTGCCCATTGCGTGCAAACGTTAACGCAGGAAAGGAGGCAGAAGACAAAAAAAGGGGGATGCCTCTCTGTAGATATATATTTCACACTTGCGTTATATACATTGATTCCATGGGAAAGCTGGTTTTTAAAGTTCGTCCTCAACCCCTCCTCCCACAAAAATCAGCCACGACAGGTGCTTCTGCCAAACCCACTCGCCCGCCGCCGGCTCCCAAAAGATGATACTACGGCTGCTACAGAGGCAGAAGAACTGTAGTGAAAAGTGGTGCTCGAGGCAGCAGAATTCACACTCGGGGCAGAGGCCGAGTTGCTGTCGCTTCTCTGAGTAGTCCTCTAGGAAAACAAACGGCTGGAGAGGGGTGTCGGCCCCAGACTCGCTCACAAGGAACAAGAACCGTTATCTTGTCTGGTGTGGGTGATCCGGGACCCAGAACAATCATCTACCGCCATATTTCAAGAGATCGGACTCTCTCTCCCCCTTCCCCACCGCATCCCCAGATTAGAAAGCCCCACCCCACCCTTCCCGGGGCAGAGGAGACAGCTGCCCCAAACCGAAAGAAGTCCCTTTCAGTTTTTCCATTCCATTAGCAGACGAGGCTGGGCAGGGCGACCTTTGGTCTTGTCATATTCCTCAGTGTATTCACTGTCTTAAGGGGTGAAAGATGAGCCTGGGAGACTCTCAGCAGGGGGGGGAGTCAAGGGCGGGGGAAGGAGATGGATCAGAATTCGCAGCCCAAGATTCTGGAATGGGTCATTCCCCGGGGGGGGGGGGAACGAGTGAGGAAAGGGGCGTCTTCCAAGCCCCGGCGTCACCTCTTCATCTCGGAGTAAATCGACTCTGCCCTGCGCAGTAGGTCCTTTAGTATAAAAAGAGATAAGGAAAAGTCCTGTGATTAGCAAGCAGTCATGGGTGAAGGACATTTCAGGGGGAAGGGAGAAATCGGCTGCCCACAATGAACTTCCGTCCCCAGCCCGTTGGTGAAGGCCCAGTGAAGAACCCCCTTAAGAGTCTCTGCCATTTGATGCATGAAATTGGGAGAGAGAAACAGTGCAGGGCCTTTTGAGTAGTGGCCCCCTGCGTCAGGAATCTGACGCGTAGAGAGCCCCGGTCTGTGCACTTTGGAAATTAGACTAGAGAAGCCATTTATTCTTTGCCATCTTCATGCAAGGCGGGCTTCCCTCATTCGAAAACACACATATAATCGAACAGAACGACCAAATTCTCCAGCACAGAAAACGATTCTCGGTCTGGAGCAGATTTTAAAGGGATCGATCAGCGAGCCTCTAAAGGACAACTTGGGGATCCAGGGAAGTCCAACCTTATTTCCTTCTTTGACCGAGTGACGAGCTTACTGGATCGAGGGAATGCTCTTGATGTTGTTTATCCGGATTTCAGTAAAGCTTTTGGCAGGGTTCCCCATGATGTTCTGATGAGTAAAGTAAAGGACTGTAGACTGGATTCTAGGATAGTTAGGTGGATAGGGAACTGGCTGGAGAACCGCACTCAGGGAGTCGTTGTCAGTGGCATTTCATCTGAATGGAGGGAGGTGTCCAGTGGGGTGCCACAGGGCGGGGTTCTGGGCCCGGTACTTTTCAATATTTTTATAAATGATCTGGACAAGGGTGCGGCTACTCATTAAATCTGCAGACGACACCAAATTGGGAGGGGCAGTGAACACACCAGAAGATAGAGAGAGAATTTGGCGAGACCTGACCACACTGGTAAAGTGGGTGGATGTGAACAAGATGCAATTTAACAAGGATAAGTGTCGAATTCTTCATCTGGGTAACAAAAACGAGGGACACACATACTGGATGGGGGATACGCTTCTGGGTAGCAGTGTGTGTGAACAAGATCTTGCGGGACGGGTGGACAGTAAGTTAAATATGAGCAGCCGGCGTGATGCAGCGACAAAAAAGGCTAATGCGATCTCGCGTTCTATCAACAGAGGCATAACATCCAAATCGCAAGATTTCACAGTCCCACCGTACACTACCTCGGTCAGGCCGCCCCGGAGTATTGTGTGAAGTTCTGGAGGCCTCAGTTCAAAAGGGATGTGGACAGAATGGAGCGGGTGCAGAGGAGAGCGACGAGTGTGATCGGGGGCCTGAAGACCAAGAAGCCCTGTGAGGAAAGGCTGAGGGACTCGGGAATGTTCAGTCTGGAGAAGAGCAGGTTGAGGGGGGACAGGGTGGGTCTCTTGAAGTATTTGAAGGGCCGTCATTTAGAGGAGGGCAGGGAGGTGTTCCCGTTGACAGCAGGGGACAGGACTCTCAATAAGGGGTTTAAATTGCAGGCAGGACAGTACCGGATGGATATGCGGAAAAACTTTTTTATAGGAAGAGTCATGCCACAGTGGAACCGGCTGCCTGGGGAGGGGGTGAGCTCCCCCTCCCTGGCAGTCTTGAAGCAGCGGCTGGACAAACACTCGTCAGGGATGCTCTAAGCCAGTGATGGCGAACCTTTTAGAGACCGAGTGTCCAAACTGCGACCCAAAACCAACTTATTTATCGCAAAGTGCCAACACGGCAATTTAACCTGAATACTGAGGTTTTACTTTAGAAAAAACGACTCATACGTTAACTTAAGATGATCCAAACAAAGTAAGGAAAGCAATCCCAAATGCTTTCATTTCTTAAAATGATTTGGCAGAGAATTCGACACTTTAATGATGGTCTGGGCCTGGCTGGGGCGATGGCACGCGTGTCCGCAGAGAGGGCTCTGAGTGCCGCCTCTGGCACCCGTGCCATAGGTTCGCCACCACTGCTCTAGGCTGATCCTGCATTGAGCAGGGGGGTTGGACTAGATGGCCCCTCTGGCCCCTTCCAACTCTGGGATTCTATGTTTCTAGGAATAAAAACACAATAGCAGTATCAGGGCTCTTTTTGTAGCAGGTACCAGTGTTCCCTCTAAGCTGAGTTCGTGTGAGCTAGCTCACAGTTTTTTAGCCTCCGGCTCACACATTTTTGTCTTAGCTCAGGAAGGATGGCTCCAGAGCAAACTAATTTATGCAGCAGCCAAACTGGTCGCTCACAACTTTAATGCCAGCAGCTCACAAAGTAGAATTTTTGCTCACAAGACTCGACAGCTTAGAGGGAACATTGGCAGGTACTCATTTGCATATTAAGCGACACACCCCTAATGTAGCCAATCCTCCAAGAGCTTACAGTAGCTCCTATAAGAAGAGCTCTGTAAACTCTTGGAGGATTGGCTACATTAGGGGTGTGTGGCCTAATATGCAAAGGAGTTCCTGCTACAAAAAGAGCCTGGCGGTATTACTAGGATTGCGGGCTCTGGGTTGGGAAACACCTGGAGATTTGGGGGGTGGAGCCTGAGGAGGGCGGGGTTTGGGGAGAGGAGGGACTTCAACAGGCCATAATGCCGCGGAGTCCGCCTTCCAAAGCGGCCATTTTCTCCGGGGGAACTGATCTCTGTCGCCTGGAGATCAGTCGTCATTCCGGGTGCTCTGCGGCCACCACCGGGAGGCCGGTGACCTTACACGGAAGCCGCTCAGAACTCTCCAGGGCATTATGAACATCGCAGCTCGCCTCCGTCTGGACGTGCAGGTGGGCCCGGGTGACGGAGCCCATTCAAACGGGAACAGACGGTTCTGGCCACTCCCGAGTACTAATCCGGTTAGGGATTCACAGGCAGTAGCCATCGCCTTTAATTGTGCGCGGAGTTGAATCGGCAGCCAGTCTCTCTTTTGAGGCCGGTCAGGCGGTGCATTCCCTCTTAACTTTGCAGGCAGGTTAAGATTTATCGAGCCAGTGTTGGGGAGTAGCTAAGAGCAGCAGCCAGGAAATGGCGTGTTCGAATCTTGCGCAACCGTGACAAGCCTGGGTGGCCTTTCATGGAAGAACACGGGACGGGCTCACCCAGTCTGTTCCCAGTAGCGGCTGGCTTCTGGGAAGGCACCCTATCGCAGGTGCTCAGAATCCTGCAATCACAGCTAGGCTGCTGCTGACCATGGAAGCTCCTCCGTTTGGCTGGCCGTGGCCAACCAACATCGATATGCATTTATTTAGTATGGTTTTTATCCCTCCCTTGCTTCAAAGAGCTTGGGGAAGGAACCGCCCTTCTCCTTTCCTCAATTTTTATCCTCACAACAGCCCTGCAAGGTAGGTACAGCCAAGAGACTGGTCCGAGTTCAATCAGTGAACATTTGCAGCATTTGAATCTGGGGCTGCCGGAACCTAATCTAGTAGTCTAACTGCTAACCCCGGGCATTCAGCAAATCAGGTAGTTCTCTCATAACCTCATATGAGAAATTAGGGCAATTATTTACCTGTGTTTATTTAGAGTCCAATTTTCTCACTGAGGCTAAAAGTAGGATTACACCGTGTAAATCAATGCAATCAATAGAGTCTGCCGAGGTTCAGTGTTAATTCAGTGATAAGTATTTGCTTTCGTATATGTATTTTAATTGAAGATAGTATATATGTTCTCATAGCCGTGCTGTCCATGTACTTTTTACTCTGCTGGTCTATGGCCGTAACAAATGAATAATTGATTGAATGCGGTCAATAGGATGGGAAAGCTAATAAGCAATGCAATAAGACTAGAGTTCCAGGAATGTGAATCAATCAATCAGTAGGATGGGACCGCTAATAAGCAATGCAATAGGACTAGAGTTCCGTGAATGTGAAATAAACACAGATCTACCTTGCAAGATTGCTGTGAGGTAGGCAACGATCACGTCTGTGTTTTCAGTACTCTAAAAATCCATATCAAATTAATTCTATGTATATTTAAATAGCAAACTCAGCGGCTGTACTGAGTTTTATTTAGGCACTTAATGAGTGTTACTGTTAGAGTATTACTCTTAAACGCACGCGATAGATTACAAAGCGACTTTGTTTCGGGTTGTTATTTTTCCCTGTTTAAATTTTTGACATTTAAATTATTTCATGCAGATTAATGGGATGACAGGTACGTACAATTCCATGGACATTTGCAAGCTGCATTGCACCTTTAAAGGAAGAGACATGTGAATCAACCAGACTCAAACAGGCAATGCCAGCCGTGCCAATGACCCTCCCTGCCCTGGCAGAGACGCAGACTTTATGTTAGCAGGAGGAAGCTTTGGGGTCAGGAGTAAACAGTAAGAACCGATTCTAATGATTTCCTGTTCAGAAGCAGTCTAGAGCAGGGGTGTCGAACTGGTTTGTTACGAGGGCCAGATAAATGTCACTTTGTCGGGCCAGGCCATGCGTGCCATAAAATGTAATGCCAAATTCTGGAGAAATAAACTTTATAAAGGACACGGGCGAATCCAATTAACGATATTATTTTTTACTCAAAATCTCCCTGATGCTCACCCTCCCATTTCCATGGACAGTTACGCACTAGCACTGGGACAATATACAGTACAATATAATGTACAGCCTTTGTCATCTGGCAATAAAGGTAATGACCAGTTGCTTGCGGGCCGGATTAGAGCCCTAGATGGGCTGCCTCTGGCCCGTGGGCCGCACATTTGACACCCCTGCTCTAGAGTATGAACTTACCATATAGTTTGAGTCTAGGTTGGGGCAGGTTTCGGCAAGAGGCTATAAAAACAGAGAAAGAGAGAGAGATTAATATTGTAAGTCAAGAAATAGGGCAGAGAGATACACGGTAGGCAAAAATGAGCTTCGACCCATCTTTCTCCGAAGCGTCCTTACATGGGATAAAATAACTGGTGATGACCTACAGACAGGGTCACCGAGAGCTACCACGGGGCCCTGGATAAAGATTCCACCTGGGCCCCTCCACATGACCCTGATGCAAACCGGGTGTCTAATTTTGTAATTTTGTCCGTGCAAATATACATTTGTGTACCCCTATAGGACAAAGCGGACTGTTAAGTTCACGGAAAAGTCGTATCACAAGAAATGGTTAGTAAGTTTAGTCAGTAAATGTTTAGTTAAGTGAATCAGTTAGAAACCTGTTTCGGTTTACCCTTGTACCGTTACCTACCACAAAAGGTGGAGCAAACTGATTATGTAGTGGTACTAGATGAAAAGTACTATGATCACCGGCAGAGGTCATTTCGGGGGGGATCGCGGGGGATCGCAGTCCCCCCGGGTGAGGTATGGGGGGCGGGGCACATGACGAAGCCCTGCCCCCTGCTTCCGGCCACCCCGCTTCCGGCCCTCCGGAGGAGGCAGGAGAAGAGGGAGGGTAAGTTGCTTCCTCCCTGCCTATCCCCACCCCTGCCTGCCTGGGGCCAGGTAGGGCCTTCGCGGGGCTTCCTTGCATTCCCGCCAGCCTTGCAGGTTGGCCGGGGGGCGGGGCACATGATGAAACCCCGCCCCCTGCTTCCGGCCGCCCCGCTTCCGGCCCTCATTCAGCCAGGAGGAGGCCGGGACCGTTGGGGGCGGGGTGTGTGGCCTTATGACACACTTCCGGTGATGTCAGGGGGTGTGGCATATGCTAATGAGTTATGCTAATGAGTTCCCCTAGCTCTTTTTCTACGAAACGACCCCTGATCACCGGAACGGACTTTGCTGATATATTTCCTAAACATTATGTCCTTTGTTGCCAAAACATGAAGCAAAGCAACATTTGCAAAGGGATATTACATGTCCCACCCGCACGACGACGACAACTCACTGCCGGAACAGTGTTCAGAACGCTATTTAATCTAATTAAATCTAACTCCTGTTCCACGTGTGTAACCACTAAAACAGATTAACTTTCTATTACCATGCATGTAAGGGGGGGGGTATCCTTTTACTAGTCTGATAGATTATGGGGAAATATTAACACACACACACCTGCTTCCATTCATAATATTAACAACAGTTTGCTACTATACTACCATTAAGTGTAGTCTAAGTAGCCATCCAGGTGATAGGGAGACCAGCCTTCGGGGAATCCCCCAGAATTACAGCTCATCTCCAGACTACATAGATTGCTTCCTCTGGAGAAAATGGATGCTTTGGAGGGTGGAATCTATGGCAGTATACCCCATTCAGGTCCCTGTCCTCCCCAGGCTCCATCCCCAAATCTCCAGGAGTTTCCTAATCTAGACCTGGCAACCCTACCCCCCATCTCCTCCCCCCCCCGGTGGCCAAGGTGGACCTGACAATTCTAAACAGGGATAAGAAAGAGTCAGGAGTCATTTCCTGCAGGAGCGCACAGGAGCGGAGCTCCGGCAGTAAGGAGCCCAGGGGCGGGCACATGCAACAAGCCCCACCCCCTGCTCCCAGCAGCTCCGGGCCACAAGGGGCAAGAAGCAGCCAGATAAGCTGCAGAGCCCCCCCCCGGCCCAAAACAGTCCAGTGGCACCTTTAAGACCACGTTTTATTCAGGTACAAGCTCTCCCTCCTCTGCAAGGACAGATCTGCATGTTCCTCCCCCCCCCCAATAGCTAACAATCCAAAACAGTCCAGTGGAGCTCGAGCGGTGGGTGTTGCCTTCTGACACACTTCCGGTGATGTCAGGGTGTGTGGCATATGCAAATAAATTATGCTAATGAGCTCTGCTAATGAGCTCCTGCACCTCTTTTTCTACGAAATGACCCCTGATTAAGATCAAGACTAACAAATTGTGGGGGGGGGGGACTTAGAAGGGGGGATAGAGAAATGAAGGCATAACATGAAAGAAAGAGTGCAAAACGAAGGCAGGAGAAAAGTGTGGAAAAGAGGGAGAGAAATTAAGACTAAAAGAAAGGTTGTCGTTCTCGAAAATACACTAACAGGGAAGATCTGGCTGAGCAGACAAAGCTATGGAGCTGGGCGGAAGGAAAGGAAGAGGGAAACGGACTGCTGGAAACAACAACCTTGTTAGGCGAGTGCAGCCCGGCTATGACTGTAGCAGCCCTGAGCGATGCTGGTTGGCCTGGCCTTGCTCCGGGGCAGGCTTGGTTGATGGTTATTAAGCAGGTTACGCAAGTCTTTGTCACCTTACAGTAATCCTGGCAGAAAGGCAGAGCCAGCAGAAAGCAGAGCTGCTGCTGCTGTTTACTTTGGTCCGCCTTCCTTACGCCCCTAGTGGTTGCAGTGTGGAGGTGCATTACAAATAAAATAAATCAAGATGCATTTCTAAGCACAGCAGGAAGCTGGCTTCAGGGGCACTCTAGTTGCCTTGGGCCATGGAATTCTGTCCCCTCCCCTCCCCTCCCCGTCCCTCCCTCCCTCTCAGCTACAGACAGTGCACAAACTTACAGGGAGGGGTCCTGGAACAGGGGGCGGAGGCTTCCCTGCCACCTGCCGCGATTCCACTGGCGAATCCATCACCTCGTATATGGGCTCTGTGTCGTCTGCAAAACGGAGGGTACAAGTGTTAAAATTTTCTCCCATTGCCTTTACTGGTTATTTTCGGATCCCGTCCTTCCTCCAGGGAGACCGGAAGGGCTGCCTTCACAACCCTGTGCGGTAGGCTAGGCCAAGAGAAATCAGTCGACTCTAGACCTCTCAGAGAGTTTCCCTGGGGATTCGGTTGGAACCTGGCCTGGAGTAAAACCAGTTCTTTGTCCAATGCACAACACACCTGTCCTGATATTTGGGATCACTGGAGGTGTGCAACTTACGATTTACCAATGGCGGCCCAGAGGGGACCTGAAAGCCCGGTTGGGGCTTGTTTTGCACATAGAAGGCGGCCATACTTGACTGGTGAGCCGCATTCCATTCGACCAATCACAACTGGTGCCAACTCTCCGGAACACTGGTATGCTTCTGAAAGCACTAGGCTTCCCAAGTCCCCCCAGGGGGCCAGAAAACCCCCGCCCCAGAGGCCCGTTCCCCGCTGCCGCCAGATCGGCCCCCGTGGGGAACTCCTCCTCGACGTGCACGTCACCCGGAAGTGACGCGACCATGCCGGGCACACTGGAGGCCGGGCCACGGCCATCCAAGGGAAAACTCTATGGTTTTCCCTTGGATAGCCATGGCCCCTCCCCCAGCGTGCCTGGCGTCGTCACGGCACTTCTGGGCGATGTGCATGTGGCGCGCATGCGCACAACTGACGCCGGCTGGGAGCCCCCCGCTCCCGACGAAAATCAACTTGGCAACCCTAGAAAGCACAGACTTCCCAGAATCCTTTGCTCCTTTACTCCAAGAATCTTTTGCTCTTGGGGGCATGGCCACTCGTAGCTCGTTACTAGACTGGATCTTCTGATGCCAGGGGATTGACTTTTGCAAGCAAGGTCAGCCCTGGCTAGTATTTGGATGGGAGACCACCAAGGAATACCAGGGTCGCTAGGCAGAGGCAGGCGATGGCGAACCACCTCTGAACGCCTCTTGCCTTGGAAACCCCACGGGGTCGGCTGTGATTTAACGACACCGTCCACCACCGCAAAGGGTCAGGGAATTTTCCTTCAGGCCCGTTGGCATCCGTATTGGCTAACTTCTTATTCACTGTAATATTTACGCCTTTCCAGGGGTCGATTCGGGGGGATCGCGGGGGATCGCCGTTCCCCCGGGTGAGGTGGGGGGGCGGGGCACACA